GGGGGGCACTAGCTGGCCGCGGGCTGCGGCGCGCCCCGCTGCGCGCCCGCCGCGCCGCCGCGCAGCGACTCCTCCATGAGGCGGCAGATCTTCTCGCGGTCGGCCTGCGGGCGGGGGCGGGGGCGGGGTCAGAGGGGCGGGACGGCACCGCGGGCCGCCGCCGTCGCCGGGACTCACCTCGTGGATGAACCCCAGCTGCACCAGCTCGCGGGCCAGCGCGGGCGCCGAGTCCCGCCGCGACACGGGGCACGTCAGCTGCCGGTTCATCTTGTCGTCCATGCGCAGCAGGATGGTCATCTGCGGCCGGGGCGGGACGGTTACTCTTACGGTCTGTGCGCCTACCGCGACTGCTGTCGTGTCAGTTAGCAAGACGCAGTAGCAGCTGCGAGCTATTCCTATACTGCTACTCGGAACGGTTACCAGTTGTACGGAATCGGCGGGCAGTTGGTATTGACCGATTTCAATGCAAATAATCAGTTGTTGCAGCCGACAATAAAAATAATAATATAACAAGATCGACTTCACCGTTTTAACGCCGTTATTCGTAATTGCACTATAAAAACTTACAAACTCAACATTGCAGAGGCCCTCAAATAAAAAATCATTTATTACCGAAAAACTTACATTTTACAAGTCTAATTTTTTAATAACGATTTTAACCATAAGAATGTTTTCACACTTAAGCTTTAAAAAAATATACACTCAAGTAAAACAAACTAAAAATAATATCCCACCGTACATTTAAACGCCTAATAATAAAAAGGGCGGACGGAATAAGTTAAAAGACCTCATTCTACTTACACTCTAATATAAATCAATACATTTATAAGTAACAAATTATATATACATTAATAATTAATAAAAAGTAAGGAAATGGCTTCAAAACAACAGCAACACGATAAAAAAATAAAAAATTAAGAGAATGTGAGAAATATAACCAACCGATACCACAATCACAGCTCAGGCGAAGCCCGACCAGCCTCGGCCGGGCGTGCACGGCCACAGAACGTGGTCGAAAGGAGAACGTACCAGCAGGTCGCAGGCGGCGTGGTCCTGGTGCGGCTTGAGGCTGCACATCATGTTGACGACGCGGCGCGTCTCCAGGTCGCGCGGCTCGGGCGAGGCCGCGGGCGCCGCCTCGGCCGGGCGTGCACGGCCACAGAACGTGGTCGAAAGGAGAACGTACCAGCAGGTCGCAGGCGGCGTGGTCCTGGTGCGGCTTGAGGCTGCACATCATGTTGACGACGCGGCGCGTCTCCAGGTCGCGCGGCTCGGGCGAGGCCGCGGGCGCCGCCTCGGCCAGGCGCTCGCACGGCGACGCCGCGCGCCCCAGCGGGCCCCGCGCGCCGTACGCCGTCAGGGGGTAGATGCCGTACCTGCCGGTCGAGTCGGGCTCATGTCACAGGAGTTCATTTTCGTCGCATTTGCTCGTGAACAGTGTCACGACAGGTATTTTCACCGCCCCGTGGATGTTTTACGTCAGGCAAAAAGTCTATGCTCGAAAAGGCTGAACGAATATTTCTTACATATATAAAACTACAAGTTCTTACTCACTGATAGAAATAGAACGCACACTTCCCGATATGGTGGCAAAAATATATTTATATCGTTGTACGCGGATACGTTCCAAAGCAAAGAATCAAATATGAGAGAACCTGAATGTGGAAAATATAAAATAGTGATCAACGGCCTGCATAATTTGCCCTGGACAATTTCCGCCGGAAGTAAAAAATGTTCGAAATTCAAATAAACAAGACGGCCACCACATAGACTTCAAGGTTTTCTATCACGGAAACTATTAAAAATAGGTTGGAGATGCTGAAAGGAATGTCATAAAGGATAACAGTGGTCAACTGCCGGTGTAAAAAAAAAATTCAAGATGGCAAATTCAAAATGACGGTCGAAGAAAAACTTGCTTCCATCCGGCTGAAAATTGGTATTTAGGTGTCCTTAAGCATAATTTGGGATCAAAGTTTATTTTCGCCATTTTTTTATATGGCTGTCATATAAGCGTTTTATTCGTTAAAAATAGCTGCCGACAGACTTGCTCTGATTCGGCTGAAAATTAGCTTGTGGAGGTATCTAGAAGTGCCAGGTAATAATTTGTGGTCAAAATTTGTTGTTCGCCTTTTTGAAATATGGCCGCCATAGAAGCGTTTGTTGACGGCAGACAAAAATTTGCTCTGATTCCTTTGAAAATTGGCATATGGAGGTCTCCAGGAGTGCTTGATAATATTTTGTGATCAATATTCGTTTTTCGCCATTTTCAATATGGCCGCTATACAATCGTTTATAAAAATTTGCTCTAATTCAACTGAAAATCGGCCCGCGCTCTTGGATTTAGAAATGAGTGCCATATTCGTATTGAGCATCCCGAAATACCGCGAAAAAGATACCCATATTGCATTTTTTGAAAAATCGTGTCCGCCATCTTGGATTTACAAACAAGTGCTATATTCGTAATGAACGCCCCCAAATACCTCGAAAACGATATCCAACTTGCCATTATTCGAAAAATCATGCCCGCCATCTTTGATTTAGAAATGAGTGCCATATTCGTAATAAGCATCCCCAAATACCTCGAAAAGGATACCCACATTGCATTTTTTGAAAAATCGTGTCCGCCATCTTGGATTTACAAACAAGTGCTATATTCGTAATGAACGCCCCCAAATACCTCAAAAACGATATCCAACTTGCTATTATTCGAAAAATCGTGCCCGCCATCTTGGATTTAGAAATGAGTGCCATATTCGTAATAAGCATCCCCAAATACCTCGAAAAGGATACCCACATTGCATTTTTTGAAAAATCGTGTCCGCCATCTTGGATTTACAAACAAGTGCTATATTCGTAATGAGCACCCCCAAATACTTCGAAAATGATACCCAACGTGCCATTATTCGAAAAATCGTGCCCTTCATCTTGGATTTAGAAATGAGTGCCATATTCGTATTGAGCATCCTCAAATACTTCGAAAAGGATACCCGTGTTGCATTTTTTTGAAAAATCGTGTCCATCATCTTGGATTTAGAAATGCGAAAAGTCGTGTCAGCCATCATGTATTCAGATATAAATGTCAATTCCTTATGGATCACGAAAAAAAAATTTTTGAAAATTCTTGACAACCATCTTGGATCGAACACTCAGAAAAAATTCCTTCGATCCGGCCGGATTCGAACCGACGTCTTCTTGCATACCGTGCCAGACGCTATACCAACTAAGCCACGGAACGAACCAACGGACCTCACTAATTTTTCTATGTGCTGGCGTCGTGTCTTTGTATTTTATTTTTCAACGACTTTTTAGTCTTAGCGTCATCTATGAGAAATCTATGAAAGATTTATCACCCAGTTAGTACTTTTACAGCTACCAGTCCTGGCGAGAGATGTGACTAACTGTGTACGCAAGCACATAGAAAAATTCGTGAGGTCCGTTGGTCCGTTCCGTGGCTTAGTTGGTATAGCGTCTGGCACGGCATGCAAGAAGACATCGGTTCGAATCCGACCGGATCGAAGGATTTTTTTCTGAGTGTTCGATCTTTGTATTAATAGTTATAACAAACTAGTGGAGTAATTTCACAAAAAATAATTGAATATCAATTTAATAAAAATTTAATTAACCATCTTGGATTTAGAAATTAATGCCACATTCTCAATGAGCACTCCCAAACAACTCGAAACGTCTATAATACCCGTTGTTGATCGACAAAGTCGTAGGCACATTTAGGATCCGTTGTTTATTTTGTCAAAATAATCAAAATGAATACTACCATTAAATAGTTAACAAAACTCGATTTACGAAAAATATTTCTAAATAGTTTTCGCTTAGTTTATTGGTTTTTACGGGATTTTTACGTTTTGTTTAACACTACTCTTCACACTTCTATTCAGAACCAAAAGGTATGTAGTTAGGGGGGTCAGAGTTCTTGGGGCACACACTTCACGTATATATATTAAAAATTACTCACAACCTGTTATGTTTTCTTCATTTGTAGTTTTAGTTTCAAAATTGTCAATACATTTTAGACATAAATTTTCCCATGCCTTTTTTCCAGTCGATTAGAATAACTGGCGGAACTGATATGCCATATTGCAAGGTGTTGTTCTGCATTCTCTATAAATTCTTCAACTCGATTTTTGTCCATCGTAGTTAATTTGAAAAATTAACATGTACACCTCACTAACCGTGATGCAACCGAGCGGGGCTGCAGCAACTGTAGCGCGGCCGCCGCGCGGTTGCAGCGCTTCTAGAAATTGTATGAAAAGTGACAAACGCGCGGCTAACAGCGGCTAATTGAACGCGCCCTAACTCTGAGGAGCGCCCTAACCCAGAATACTCAGGCCAATTTAGAAATGTTCGTTTCTTAAATTGGCCCAAATCAGGAATCGAGCCTCCTCATTAAGCAGTCATAGTACTAACCGCTGTGCCACCGAAGAGCATGAGCACTTTCCGTAATCTGAATCAGCCCAGCTCGACCCCACCGTACGTGGGGTATAGGGCCCGTTTCGTATAAAGTTATAGTATAAAAAAAAACCAAACATTTGTAATTTGAGTATATTTTACAAAATTTATTTTGTGTATTCAAATTCTGCAATATTTTAAGAATTTGGAAATAGTTTATTTTATGTTTAGTACATTGTGGCTACATGTTCCTGTGCCTTTTATAATACTTTAGTTCGAGTTATATGTATGAAAGAAAAGCTGGCAATCTATTAAAAAAAAAAACAAATATCTGACATTTACAAAATCCGTGAATGTTGCTTTGTAAAGCGGTGTTTATTTATACGAGAAATAAATTACCGTATCTATTTCCTCACAAATGTGCGAAAATATTGTATGTAACACGAGCGGCATAAACTACAACCCGAAATTATTAAAGCCCTCGGCCTTCGGCTCCGGGCTTCTACCAAACTCCCGTTAGTAATTTCTTATTACATAGTGTACTATTACACACTTATTTTGCGGCCTAGGCAAAGCGTTGCACGCCTCACACTGGGTCAAGTCAAGTTCTTTTTACGAAAGTAATGTGAACATAGTTGGCGCCCCCGCAAACGCGGAAGACTCGGGCACTCACTTGACGTCCTCGACGAACTTCTCCAGCTTCTCCGCGTGCGGCAGGTCCTTGGCCGCCAGCTCCACGCGCTGCCCGCCCTTGAGGCACCAGGCCAGCGCGCAGCCGCCGCCGCACACCTCGTCCGTGATGGTCTCCGAGATGTTGGCTGCAACGACTGGCGCTGAGCACGGGCGCGGCCCCGGCCCCGGCCCCGGCGGCGGCGCGGCTTACCCGTGGCGTCGACCAGCGTGTGCGCGGCCAGCAGCTTCAGCGAGTGCACCTCGAACAGCAGCGGGTGGAACAGCAGCTCGCGCGCCGTGGGCCGCAGCGCCGGGTCCTTGTTGATGCACCTGCAACGGCCGGGCCGCACTGGTCGTTACCGCGGCGAGTGGCGAGTGGCGAGTCGCTGCCTCCCGAGCTCCGAGATCATCGGAAGCTTGCAAACATTTACGGGCAGCGATATCTGTATCCTAGCGTCCTAGCTCCATGCACACCCTGCGTTTCACTGGTGTGCGGTAAAAACGCTGCATCATTTACTCGGTTGTCAAACGTTCAAGCTGGCGGACGCAGGTCCCACACATTTTTAATTATGCACATTGATTTAGTAAGTAACTTTGCGGTTTCTGATTAATTTGTGTACTGTAATATTTGATAATCGTATACAAAATTCCACACTATCCATCTCATTTTGCAAACACGTAATGACGCGTGTTGAAATAAGACAAAATATAAATCATAAATCAATACGCAACCGAGTGTTCTGACGATGTAATAACTATGGTTATATAACTATGGCTAATAAAATATGGTTACCATATACATATATACACATATTTAAAAAAATAAAAAGGACTGGGCTGCACGGTTGAAAGACCATTGTCCTTCCATAAAGTACATAACAGAACATAAATATTTTCAACAACTCAACTGTATTTTTTACTTAATCTGTTTTTCTTTTTAATAATAACATAATAATTAAGTAAGCGGAAGGCCCCTGGGTCAAAGGAAAATGAAATGTGTTGTGCAATTAAAAGCGATTCTGCCAGGAGCTTTACGGTAATTACTAACTATGGATAAATACCATTGTTAAACACTTAATATTATCCACCCGACCAGCTCATCCCCAATAGGTATAGACCGTTACGTCTGTCCACCGGCACCTACTACGGCACTGACACTCTTTGACAAAATGCAACACTAAGACAAACGGTGTTTTATTTGGAGAATGTAGTTGCTATGAATGTTCTTGTCCATAGACTGAAGCGGTCTGGGCCGAGCGCCCCGTGCCGTGCCGTACCTGTAGATGAAGTCCTTCTGGCGCGGCTCCTCCAGCGACTCGACGGTGCGCGCCACGTGGTCGTCGGTGACGTGGCTGGCCGAGTCGCCGTTGCCCTGGATCTCCAGCGCCGCCGTCTCCAGCGCGCACATGCCGAACGAGTAGATGTCCATCGCGGGAGTCACCATTTGCGACGCTGCCGCACCACAATGTTATGCAACTCGAGCGTAGCGTTAGCGATACGTGGTTGGTTTGTATCCAAACAAAGAATTTCAAAAACAAAGCAGTTAATGGCTTAAATCTAGCATTCGACTAACGGGACATCAATTACGATTGGCGTGATAGTACGGCACTTCCTCACGAAATACCAAGTAGGTGTTTTACGAAAGCCACGTATCGAAGTAACATGTTGTAAGATTTTTTTATTGTTACTTAAACATAGTAATTGCGAGATCTCTTCCTTCCCTTCACTGCAGAAGGTGAGAGTGAGTAAGCTGGTGGTACATAGCCGGGCGTGGTCTGCACAGGCAGAAACCCAGCAAATTGTAAATAAATCGACGTATGATACGAAAACAACAGGTGCTTAGCGAGGTTTTCGAGAGTGCCAATTTGGCATAGCCGAGTTCATAAATGTTATGGATATTATTTATTTCGACAGCTAATAGCTGTTATATATAAACCTAGGACTAATTAATAATAGACATAATATTACGTATAGAAAGACGACTTCTTCATCGTATGCCTTGAAGTTGGTAGCAAAGTTATTATTTCAGGACATACAAAAGTCGATTCGCGATAGACTATAAATATATAAGAAATAAATCTTGATTGCGAATGTATACAAAACACCATGGCAGTCGCTTTCATCATTAGAAATTATTAGTAGTAAGCCACTCACATCCGTATTCGGGCGCAATAAAGTGCATATTGCGCATGTTGTCATGACAGGTCTTGACATGGTGGTGGATGGCGTCGGGCGCCACGGAGCCTATCTTCACCAGTCCGTTGTGCTGGATGAAGATCGTGTCGCACGTCAGGTTGCCGTGCACGATGGGCGGCACGCACCCATGGAGGTAGCTGGGGAAATAGACAAAATAGATTGCATAACTTTTGTATTTTCGTTATCTGTTCTATTTCATGTACCATATTTCACAGCCAAATGTAGATTGTATATAGCCGTCACAGTACAGTTTGAATTTTAATAAACGTCAAATAAACAGGTAAACAAAATCGATACCCAACAGTGGCGCATTTTTTTGGGGTGGATAAATACTTCGTTTCGTCGAACTCGACTTAATCATCTAAGAGTCGTATTCTAGAACTCTACTCAATGCTCAAGTCAGGATTTGAGCAGACTTGAGTATGATTTCAAGCACTGGAAATACGACTCTAATGGCAAGGACGTGAGTATGATTTCTAGTGCTTTGAATTATACTCAAGTCCTGACTTGAACATTGAGTAGAGTTCTAGAATACGACCCTAAGTTTAAACTGTAATTTGAAATGTCCTGGTAATCTAATAATGTTCGCTGGTTTACCTGAGCGCAGAGAGGATCTGCGTGCACCACCGCTTCCAGGCCTGCAGCGGTAGCCGCTTCACGTTGCGTTTGGTGCGCTTGAGGAACTGCTTCAGCGACCCGCACGACATGTACTCCGTTATGAATATCACCTGGAACGTTACAACACCACATGTTGTTTACATTACCTCTTTACTATCAACCGACAATAAACCACTTACAATAACTAACCCGAGCCTCGCCCACCAAGTCCTCGGAATTATCCAATTCTTACCAGCAATCATCATCAATATCATCGTACACGCTTGATTTATCCTGTGACAACGGTTTGTACTGTTGGCGTTGGATGATCTCGGTTCCGATTCATTTAGGAAATGAACTTTTCTAAATTGGTTCCAGTCCTGGAGTGTTCTTGTACTCATTACAGGTATCATACTTGGTACAGGGAATTCTCTAGTTCTATACCGGGTATTTGTGTAGCTGTCGGGTACCTTATTATTATTACCACAGAAGAAAAAAAGAATGGAAATGGCATCAAGCAACATATGTATCAAAACCGGTATCGCCACACGCACACATTTGAAAACATAATCTTACATTAGTACTAAGATAACATAATTTTGATTGGTTATAAATTATCAAACGAAAATAGACAATAATAAAAAACTTTTGGTAAAAAAAACTGAAACTTATTAGGATCTAATAAGGTTTTATTATTACTAGTCATATAAAAGCTAAGAATCCTATGAACACAAATTTCTTGGAACAAAAGCAAAAAGTACAATCTACAGATAGGGATGTGACATTCAATTGATATCGACATTATGTTTCATAACTAGCGGAATATTGTACTAGGCATTATTTTACACTTGCTATAATTAGGGTCATCGAGTATATAACTAGAAATAGAGACGAAATGTCATTTAATTTGTTTGATTCCATTCTGCCATGTCATTACTGTGACAACTGCGCTCCGAATGGCTAGCCCGAGTTCGAAACAATTGACGGGTGTCGTCAATGGGTGTCGTCAACTGTTTCGCTTCAAATCGACCAGTTAACTTTAGCTTTGCTATAATGGACGAAAATTGTAAAATTACATATTTAATATTTAATTACCGATGAAATGTGATTCCGTTTGTTTTGTAATTAGATGTTTTGCTTTGCAAACGAGAGTTGATATTTATAAGAGCTGTATCCCTAATGTGTTACCAGGAATATATGGCCCTTATTTCGTCTCTATTTCTGGTTATATACTCGATGATTAGCGTTAACCACGGAGTATATGGAAACGGCATTTAAAGCAATTTCTTCGAGAACTAGCGTAGCTGATTTTTACACGCACACATTTGTTACCAAATACGCATAAGGTTTTACTACACGCAAATATTAATTGACATAACCTACGCAGGCGTGTGCGTGCCTATACGTAGCTACATGCTACAATCACAGTATTAATGATTTATTATACTGTCATCGTACTTTCATTAACCTACTAGGTTTCAAGTCCATCCGATCACTGGAAGGGTTGAAATATTAAAACACAGTCATCACAAAAATCTTTATTCTCCCTGAAATATGATATATTCGTTTAACAATTACCTCTTTCTGAACTGACTGAACATGACTACACCTATAGCGTCGACGAGCTTGTCAAGAAAATGAAGATACTTATTTCCGAAGGCGAAGAAGCGAATCGTTTGTTTCCTGAAAACTTGACGAAAAATAACTGACAATGTTTTCACATTTAGATGTGGTCTATAATTTGTGAATGAGTTGTCTCTCTCTTCTCTCTGAGTTTCATGTCATGACTTTTAGTACTTACCGATGGAAGGAAATCACTCCCGGAGTATTTTTTTTAAACTTTGGCTTCTTACGCGACATAATATAATGGCATATTTCTATTTATCATGTATCACATTTGAACGACGACTGACGCGCTGTTGACACTCATATGCCCGTCTGGTGATAAGCTGGGTAACGCGGACCACACCCACTAACCAGTCTATTACTAGTGTTTATGTGGTCTGTGATTATTACATTATTAGCATGGGGAAAAAAGAGAACAAGTTAATACAGTAAATTTAAGACCCCTGCAAATAACTGTTGTCGGATCTCTCATTCATTGGTTATAGGAAAGAAAGAGATCTGAGGTTCGGCTGACCATTTAATTTACAGTCTACGCGGGTTCTTAATTTTCCAGCTGTCTTTTTTTTTTTTTTTTTTTTTTATACCTGACAGGCAAATGACTCCACTCCACCTGATGTTAAGTGGAAAGTGGTATCCAAACGCGAAGGAACCTAGTAATGTAACGAATAATGTCTTTGAATGTTTTTTTTTTGCACAAAGTATATTATAAAACTTACCCTAGGTTTGTCGTTGTGTGTGTCGGTCCAATACCGATGGAACTTGACAATGTTCGGATGTTCGAGCCTGGTCAGGTTATCGAACACCATTTGAATCTTGTCTTCTTGCGCCTTAAAGTTTCGTCTCTCCGAGAACTGCACCTCGTTCCAGACGACCTCAACGCCTTCTTCTGTGTCCATAGCGAGATGCGCACAGTCGATGCCGGGCACATCGCGCTGGTCAACCTGCAATGAAAATTACATTTCTCATAAAGTTAGTTATATCATTCTTTCACGCAAGCAGTCCACGTGACACTTTTAGGCTCTACGATCTCAAGCATTTTTAATCATCAAGACTAGGAAAATAATTCGAAAAAAAGAAAGAAATTTAATAGAATAGCGTTTTTATGGTTCTTTGTAGTAAGTAATAATATTATATTATGTTTGGAATCGGTTACGCTGATTTTATGTTTATAACATACGCACGAACGATTAATTTTTGCAAATGTATTTAAAAAATAAACATGGTTGAATTGTAACGCAATGAAACACGCGTCATGAGCAAAACGGGTCGCCTTTTGCGGGAAATAAAACTGGATTTAAAATTATTTATGCAAATGAAGTAATTGTTTCTATGAAAATGATGGCGGCAGAATTACGCTTCGCATTCGTGTTTTGATGGTTTCACATTATTTACACACCGCGATTATACGCTGGTCTTTCTAATTTCCACTATATTATTTGTTTCCCAACATTTTTATTATAATGTTGGGAAATAAATAATTTAGCGACTGTACCGCATTTCATAAAGTATTTGTCTTTATGAAATGCGGTACAGTCGCTATCGCGTACAATATACAATGGACTTCTTAAGATCGTACCTGGTAGTTACTTTATTACTAAACCATTCATTGATTAAAGTATTTGCCTGACACAGATTTTTATTTAATAAGCGCAGTGGTAGCCCAGTGGGAGAACTGTTGCTTCGCATTTGAGAAACGGATACGGTTTAAATCCCGGTGGCGGTACGTATGTACGTCTATGACTTTAATTCCTCTCAAAAGACGTGTCCTCTACCTGCCTTGGGGCAGGCGTGGCGAACTCTGGACCAAGGGCACAGGAGACCCGCGCATATAATGCATTAACGATGATGTTAGTGGCCACGAGTGATCTGAACCAAAGTGTTTTATTACCAGAATTTTCCGATGTCGAAAAGGGCAATCATTCAATTGAGTCCCCTCCAAGGTCGCAATAACTCGCGCACTTCTTTGTACAGTAGACAATCATGCGGAATGCCTTTGTTCGCTTATGATTTCTCTCTTATTGAACGTAGTTAATAACTTGTAAGGTTTATTGTACTTTCAAACTGTTTGTTTGGTGTTGTGATATTTTATGACTTGGTAAAAGGAAGAGGGATCATTTATTATTTAACTAGGCTACCCATACTTTTAGCACGGTTCTTTCATAAGGATACATACGATAGTCAACGCTTAGTTTGTTTCGCGAATACTTGGATAAACGTAATAATTTTATGGTTAAATTGTACTTCATAGTTTTCTTCATATATCTTCTAATTATTAAGTATGCAAGAATGTGTTATTTATTTCCATGATAATTGAGCTTGTGCCGGAAAAGTAAATGTAACAATACGCAAATAAAAAAATAAGTAGATATAAGATAGGAAATGAAAATATTTTTCCGGATTTAAATCGCGTATATTTGTTTTTCCAAACAAACCGACGTTTCGGGCCCTTACCGGTCCCATGCTCGCGGTTGACGGCGATTTAAATCCGGAAAAATAGTTTCATTTCCTATGTGTAACAATCGCGAGAACCTAAGAACTCGATAGATATAAGATATTAAATTATAAATAATATCGTACATTTCGCTAATAAATCATTATTTTAAAAAAATCAACAATCTTTTTTTTCTATTCTTTTTTTTAAAGATCATGTGTGTAATTTGTTCTACAAATCCCAACAAAACACCAGTGATCGCTAAATCTCGCGATGCATAAAAAAAAACAAAGATCTAAATAACTATTTCTATATTTCCTAATAAATAAAATAAAAACCTCATTTCGTGTAATATTTTTCCGTAATTTTGTAATTTTGAAAAGACTGGGGTATTTGTTATTACAATAAAATAAGCAAGCATTGTGACAGGGGCTGAAGAAGCAGTTTATAATTAAATGTAATCTATCATTAACGAGGTTATCAACCGATGGGTTATTAATTGTTGCTTATCGCTTACCGCATTGTCGAGTGCGTAGGCGCCTCCGCATTAATTGCAGCAGAGATTTATTTTAGGATATTGATATTGTTGTATTAAAATTGAAAGAATTTGAAGACAGGGAAAGGATACAAGCATGTAACGTAAGAAAACGGTCAGCGCCATTTTAAGTAAATAATAATTTCTATAATTATTCCTTATTTACCTATTTCTCACAGATGGCGTAACGGCAAAAGTCGTTAAAAACAAAACAAATGTCTGCAACAAGCACATGTGAAAATTCGTGATGTCCTTTGGATCGTTCCGTGGCTTAACTGGCATACGTCTGGCACGGTTTGCTAGGAGACGTTGGTTCGAATCCAGCCGGATCGATGTGGATTTCTCTGAAGTGTTCGATCTTATTTTTAATACTTATATTATAACAAACTAGTGGAGTAATTGCACAAAAAATATTAATGGTGCTCTGTACAGAGAATTTCCTAGTTAGACCACGTTCCGATACCATTTGACCCGTTGAACATGTAAGAAAAAGTTGGCAAGCATGTTGGGAAATGGTCCTTTAAAATTCCAGTAATCTCACGAGATTGTTGGGTGTAGCGTTTGCCTAAGTACGCCTAAGGAATCCACAAACAGACGCATAGGGGCCAGTCTGTGGCCTGGCTATAAATAGACAGCGACACAACGCGCTTTTATGATGGCATTGCCTTGCTAATTACTCAGCTTACCTCTCTTTCTCACTGTATAATGTATTTACATAAGTATTCGTGTTTCATTGGACTCGGAAATTTATGTATAACTTTGTTGTTTTGCTTTTATTACGAAGTTTTTGATGTATTTTGTTTGAGGAAAAACTGTTCCGAGAATTTCCCATCCAGCTCTCATTTGGAATACCTTTTAAGGTAGAGCTACAGTACAATAAAGTCTAGTACTCTCAAATGTATTTATTGAGCTGGTTCCACTCTATTTAACTCGAGTTCCTTTCCTCGTGTATTTATAGCATTGCAATAAATTTTTACGATCGCTCGACACGGGCCAACCATTAAAGGACTACTAGGTCTGTGCCAATAGCACTACACTGCGCTTTGCATGTTTTATGTAGGGCAGGTCGCAGATGAGGACACGTTCTACAAGTATTCTGCCAGAAAAAATAAATAGCTGTACCGCATGTTCATCTTTCTAATAACAGTCCCTACGAAAGACGATTAACAAAGTTGAACGACGCCATCAAGTGATTACAATTTTTATAATAATGTAGTTTTATACGAAGAAGCGAGGTACATGTTAAGAATACACGCAGGGAGTAGGTGTCAGTCATATTTAGCAAAGGTGCATGAGTCGGACCAATTATGCTGTCATCGGATTAGGTTTATTAAATCAAAACGTAAGCAATGCTAAAAATCCTTTAGCAATAAGTCAAATCCGAACTAAATATTTTTGGATTTGAAGCTTTGATACAAGAGTTCTGGTTCTTGGCAGATGTAACCAATACAATTGGGATTAAAAAACTAATCTTCAGCGGACTAAGTCATAACTTTCAAATGATATTAATGATAATACGACTCAAGTCGCCATTAGTTTTTAAAAAAATATTGGGCAAGAGAGAAACTCGTGTAGCAATCAACTCTAACTTGTACTTACTTAAAGTCTCTTTCTCTATTACATGTAAAATTCGTACTAATTCGCCTCCGACAGGTAAAGCGAGCTAAACCGTTGCTGCACTTTCCCAAACAATATGCGCCCACTCGAACGTCTGAACCTCATGTTGTGAGACGACAACGTGCGTTTGCGAGTTTCGAAAGCGACTCGAACATAAAAAGGAGGAGAGAAAAGCAAATAGACTTATTAGCTTTTTTTATAGTATCAAGTGACGGGACGAACAAGTAGTGCGCCAGATGGTCAGCTACACGCCTGTACATAACAATTGCTGTGCAAGGTTTGACCTTTAAATTGCAAAGATCTTATGGGCACTGCCACTGCACCCGTCACCCTGAGACATAAGTTGACAAGTCCCATGTGCCTGTAATTTCACCAACTACTAATTGCTTTTGGCCACGACTCTCGAAGCTTCAAAATCTCGACCAACACGGCAGAAAAGTTTGTTGGTTTGTTGGTTTTCGATGGGATACGTATCTAATATCTAACTTAATTTCATTCTCACCGTTCCTCTTTCGGTCGATAAGGAAGTCCGGAGTTGACATACCACCTATTCGCATTGAAGCGCTTTGCTTCTGCCTTCTAAATACATACGTCATAGGAATGGAATACACTGCCAGCGTCTGTTTTCCGAAAACTACAACCTGTGTTTTGTCAGGGCTGAAGTGAAAAGACATTTTTTTAGAAAAGAAATCGTTGTCGCTTGACACCAGGTGATATTATGGAAAAAGTCTAATTAAACAAGTAGGATAACTTCATACAAACGTAGCATGTGTCTTGTGCGTGGGCACGACCACCGCGCGCCGTATACGGACGTACACATTCGCATATTCTCGCGCGAAATTCGCGTTGCACACCGTATGTCGTCACACGCGTCATTCATTATAGAATTGAAACGACCGCTTGGTGTTTAAAAATTACATCAAATAAGTCAAAGTCAAAGATGATTTATTCCATAGGTAAAATAAATTTACA